AAAAAAAAAAAAAAAAAAAAAAGATCCTAATTAGCCATCAAAGTTCAGTTCAATTGAAATTGTTTCCAAGAATCCTTCTTGCATGTCTCTAGACAGAGTTAATTTATTTCCCCCACCCTCTACCTCAACAAAGGACTAAGATTGTGCTTCTGATCAAAGCATGATGACTAAGGAATAATTTACTACGAAACACCTTAATTTAGAAGTTCGGTATACATGCGCCTTCCAAGCTTGAATCGGAGGTTGTATCTGATCTATTCCTCGGCCTTCAACATTGCCTCAGCTGTACTAGTCACCCACAAACATTTTGTTAAATTGAAGAAGAATTAGGAGAGTCAAACGACAGAAAAGGCACTTGAGTTATGATCTCTAATTCCCTTGAAAACCTGAAATTCTATGACATATTCTGCCTCTTTAGAACTTCTCTAAACAATGCTACATGCCTGCCCATTGGCTGGCTGAAACAGAAGGGAATTACCAACTGTGGCATGAGATCAAACAAAGCTAACAGTTCCAACGCTGAGACTCAGGGCACTAGACCCACGATGACAAGTTCTAAGGCTATAAACCCCAGCGTATGTGTCTGACTTATAGAAGCTATTGAACTTATCATGAATGAATGAATAACGAATGAATGAAGTGACTGCTAAATGGTCACCCCAAACCTTACTGCCACTATGCTCGAACTGATACTGACAGAAAAGAAAGTCTCTCATTGATTTTCCAAGATTCATCTTTTCCCACAAATATGAGAATTCTCAAAACAAGAATTCTTGACACTAAATATTTGCCTTTTGCAAAGGAAAAAGAAAAAAGTTTACAGCATACAACAGAAATTCAGAGACAAGCAAAACTCCAACACCTGGTCCTTCCAAACAAAAGCATGTTACCCCCTCATCGGAACCTCAGAGTCTTGAGAGGCCTGAAGCAAAATCACGAGCACGGTGAGAGGAAGGGCAGATAAAGAGTCAAGATTTCTCAAAAGAGTTCTGTCAGAAACGATAGGATCCACATCTCCTTGGGTCTCAGTTTCCTCACTTGTGAAGAGAGGGAATTAATTCATTCAGCAAGTATTTGAAAAGCTGTAACCAGATGCCTGGCACCAGGTTTACACTCAATGATCTCTTAGGTCCCTTTCAGCCCTGAAAAACTTATAATTCTTAGAGTCACACTTAATAGAGGTTCTTTTGGCTCTGACCTGAAGATCTGGCTGGAAACATAAACAGATCTCTACATAAAAACACACATTTACCAGCTATAATTTGGACTTGGCAACAGGAGTTTTCACCACTGGCTGGGAGAAAAACGTGCAGAATTTTCTCCTGTGATTACATTACTCTGAGTTCCATCATAGCTCAAATCTAAAGTTGGGGCAAATATGGCCAGAGTGGGACCAAGCCTCTATCACATCACATCACCACTGCACAAGGAAAGGACATGCCCATTTTCTTCTTCTTTTTTTTTTTTTTAATTTATTTATTTAATTTATTTATTTTTGGCTGTGTTGGGTCTTTGTTGTTGCACGTGGGCTTTCTCTAGTTGCGGCGAGCGGGGGCTACTCTTCCTTGTGGTGCACGGGCTTCTCGTTGCAGTGGCTTCTCTTGTTGTGGAGC